AAAGCATTCTTACTTTACAGCATTTTTTCACACCTGCCTAAAACTTTTGCACAGTACTGTATATTTATTGAAATCAACAGAATTGAGCAGAGAACAGTGCAATTCATATGAGAAAGAGATGCAAAACCCATCTTTGGTTACACATGAGATCCACAAATTTAGACTGAACAACTAACAACTGTTTTTAGACCTCAAAGCAAGTGTATCCCTTTCACATCTGCCAAAAATGTAATCCTATAGCCAAACACTAGTGAACAAATATTCTTTTAAAAAAAAATTTCTTCCAGGTCATGGGAATGCTAAAATTCCTATATAAAAGAAAGATTGGCACTACTTTGTTTCAAACAATATATCCTTGTGTTGTAAATAGTTTTTAAAAATGTAAACCATGAGATGAAACAAAAGACCCTAGAAACTTTCTCAAATGGTTCCTGCTGGTAACATTAAAACTGTATTTGTGATCCTTGATTTTTATCTTCAGTTTTATTCGCAGATAACATAATCTTTACATAATCTTTATCATCAAGTAGGTCAACTGATAACCTTGTCTGTGTAATAAGAAAATATCAAAAGAAAATGGACTATCACTGTGCTTGTAAAAAAGACCATACTCTACAATTCTATTATTGTTTCTTACATTAAATGCAATAAATCCACAATAATTCCTATTCATGCTTACTAAAAATATTAAAGTAACCCAGTCATTTCTCTATCATGTTGCTATCAGAATTTAACTAATTTATTAATTTCAAAGAAGCATTCTAAAGATTAAATCCATATAGATGCAAAAGTAGCCATAATGGTCCTGCCCACACAACACAGTATTAGGTAAGTATATTGTGTGAATACAACAATCAGGTAGGAAAAGGTTAGTTTTAAGTAAAAACAGTCCTAAATTAAAGCACTCTCACCTGGTCAGCTATATTGTACAAACACAACAACCACTCAAAAATTAGAATGTTATCCCTCACTCATCATTCAGCAAATGATCAACCTGTTCCATTTACCACCAGAGCACTAGTAACTTGCCCTTTAATATGGTAGAGGTAGCATGTAAAATATCTGTCTCTGATTTGATTCTATATAGTTTATCTCTATAAATTCTGGAGAGCTCGCTACTGGGGCAAGTAAAAAAAGAACCTGATCAACTGCCAGTGACTAGACCCCAACTACTTTCTTAATTAAAAAGAAGAAGAAAAAGGACTTCATTATAGCGTTTTTGTGTGGTTGTGTTTTTAACACTAGCAGCACAGGCTAGGATTTCTGTTTTTTTAATTTCCCACTCCTGAATTGGGAATGAACTTTGAACAAACTACCATCCTGGATTGATAAAAGGTGGATCCGAACTGAAAATCCAACTGCAATGGAGGTTAGGTGGCTCTTGCATAGCCCTAAATTCAAGCCTTAAATAAGCTGGCAAGTTTTCCTTTAAGGCTACAAGAAAAACGCTGCTAAATACTTTTGCCAAAAAGAATTTAAGAAGGGGTCAACAACCTATTTAAAAAATAGTCAAACTCTTATGATATTTCACCAATCATATTCACATGATCTCACAGAATTTTGCCAGTTTTAAGATTTGATGGGATTTTACTTATCTGCATAGCTGTGTATCGCATTAACAATTTTTGGTTTAAGACTCTAAGGTCACCACAGTTACCAGTAGGAGAGAGACCAATCGATGTAAACACTACATTCTAAGACCAAAATGTTTCTTGTATTATTTTATACTTACAAAGCAGTAATAGTAGTGAATGGTCTGACAACTGTGTACTGTAGAACACCAAGCTTGCACCTAAATAACAACACTCTACAGAAAAAGCACAGAAAGAATTCAAGCAGTTAAACACAGCAAAATAAGCAACACTACTGCAAATGTTAGAATCTGGAATATTGCAACTACCTATATGATTGGACGGCAAGAGCTAGAGAAAGGGATCAATACAATAAAAATATCAGAACAAATAGCAAGAACAATCCAAGTTATACACTGTTTAAAAAAAATCAAACTGTACCTAAAATAACGTTGTTAGTATTCCTTGCTGAATTTTTATTCATGTTTAGCTCTGTCCAAGTTAACAAGATCCAATAAAATAATAATCAGTTCAGAATATCTTCCCATCCCAGAAATATAAATGTTGCTTTTCAAAAGCCCTGTTATTATTCTCTCAGCCATTTATATGTCAGGAAATATGCTATTCTTTCAATAATTAGTCATTATTCTAATTACCAGCAAGCACTTGTCAACTAATAGTTCTCAATCTATTCTTCTAATATTTTTTCCCAATATATTTTTGCCTTCTTGCAGGTCCACCATGTAAAAGAAGTAAACATCAGTAGATTGTCAATCTTTATCAATACATGGATAGTTTTTAGTGTACTTTTTAAATATCTTTTCTTTCAGTGAAAGACTTAGGGTATATTTAGGACTCCCCCTACTCTAGCTACTTTGAGTGTTACGGGCTTCATTCACAATATGCTAAGCTATAATGATAGTTCATACTAACAAAAAGGAAACAAACTATAATATTATAGAGTAGAAATTATTTATTGGTAAAATTATTTCTGGGTAATGCCATATAAGACAATGAGTATGTGCTAATGTTTCACTAGCCATGCTAGAACAGAAAAGCAATATTAGGCTTTAAAATATAAGACCGTGGGTACTGGCTGAATATCAGTCATAAGGGCCAGATCATATAATAAATCTGGGGAATGTCAGTATCCTTCCATAATGTAACATATATATGCAGAATTATTAAAGATAATAAATATTAATAAGCATCAAAATAATTCAGATAGGAAGAAACTATCATCTACATGGTGACTGGTTGTAACCATTCTGCTCCACAGCTCCTTTTTATATATAGGGAGAGAGAGAGAGAGAGAGGGAGGGAGGGATGACTTATGTTGCCAAGGTGAGTTCCAGCTCCGTTCCAGAGTTCCTTCACCTGGAAGTTATTTCACCAAACTACAATATTGTTTGCTGTTCTATATAAACTAATCCACAATTAGAATCTCATCTATGGTTTGTAAACCATAGCTATAGACCACTGTCTTGGCTGAACTCTCCTCCCTCCCTTCAGCTATACATTGGCTTTAGCATGTAAGTTATAGCTTCCATTAGAATTCCATGTTATGTTAAAACTTGAAAGACCTGTCTTAGTTAACAAAGTAGAAGACTAAGTTAGGATCTATTAAAAATAGGAAGCCAACATAAAGACTAGTCTAGACATAATAGAAAACTCTAGCTTAGATCTTTTCACTAAAACTAGCATAAAACAAGAAGAACTAGGTTGGGGAAAGAACAGAAACAAGTTAGTAGGAAAAATTCCCAGCATGTAAAACAATTTCCAGCCATTTCAAAACCTTTATCATAGAGGACAGTTAAAGGAGACATTGATGCACTTGACTCAAGAACACAATTTGTCTCCAGATTTTATTTGATTGCTTTACTATTCCAAGAGAAACAAAACAAGACAGAAAAAGAAGGGGGAAAGAACAATTAAAAAAAGAGAGACACAAAGACAATTAAAAGAAAAAAAGAAAACAAAAACATAGCTTGTTACATGTAGAAAATCATTCAGACTTATTTTTAAATACATAATTAAACCTTGACTACGGAGAATATTGAACTAATTCATAAAGAGAATAACGATCCAGATTGTAAATCTGTGGTTACGCTGTCTTTCCAAAATTGAAAAGTATTCTATTTTGCTGCACCCTGTGCTCAATATATCCATAATTCTTTATATAGTAGTAAGTTTCAAGGTTGTGATTTATAATTCAAAAGTACAATCACATATGTAAGCCATACTGATCTTTGTAACGATACCAAACCAAAATAGGGCAATAGTGGGATAAGGCCATATCACTGGAGTAATTGCCCTTTCACCCACGACAGCCAACTTTCAGGGGTATCTACTAAATATGAAAAAGAATCTTTTGTTAAATTAGTATCATCCTAATATCATAAGAAACATACTTAATATTCTTTAAGGCCTTTAGTCAATGGTTTGCTAACATGGAATATTACAAGTCTTTGTTGCAGAGGTCTTGCAAATAACTAATATCCATATTAGCAATTTTTAACTGTTTACAAAAAATAATACTGTAGACTTATACTAATCCAAAACACATTCCAATATGGATAATGTTCAGAAATTTTAGATGTTGCTAAATTTTATTGGAAGTGTTAATACAAGAATATTGACTACTTGCTATTGTCTACACAGCCAAGATTTTGCCTGTTATTTTATATTCTGCCATGCCTATTCAATTAAAAGGAGTCTTCATTGGAAAAACAGCTTGTTATAGTATCAAAACATTTACACACCAAACATAAGAAAAAATTCTGCTTATTCTATTCCTTCTCAAGGCAGGTTACTATGTCCTGTCATTGCAAGGATACATTGCTCTTCACTCTTGCTTTACTATACAATACTAGAAGAAAATAGCCCCATAGCCTTTCGACACAAATGGAACAGAAACTTCTGAGTAAGCAGTTATGAACTCTAAGTAATATAGCATATTGAAACAACTCTTAACTCGATAAAAGCAAAATCAATAGAACTACATTGCACAAAAAGTCTTTAAAGATTTCTGATTTCGGATTACTGAAATAGTCCTCGGGAAAAGCAAAGAGAATATGATTTACTGAGAAATCAATATTTGCCTAAATTATTTAGGACAATGAAGTGTGTTATTTAAAAATTTTATTGAAATCTGGTTTCTTAACAACTCAGAAGGAGGGAAATATTTGAATACATTAATTTAAGAGGCAAGTTCTAGTACAAAATGTGAAAACAACATTGAAGAAATATATGATGCACTTACTCTCCCATAGCCCAGGGTGGACAGCAACATAATGGTGGCAGATGTCGCTGTTGATCTTTGGCTTCTATGATTAACACCAAATTTGGATACCGGTTGGTAAGATAATTTGAAAGAAATACCATGAAGTTATAGATGACATATGCTTCATAGCATTCTCTACAAGTATCCACATATATTGCAATGTTGGGATATTTCAGTGCTATCCACTACAAGGAAAAAGAACAAGCAAATAAACACTATTACTCAAAATCATTTTACACTGAGATTCCATCCTAAACATAATATATCTCAAAACTGCATATAAACATTTAATAACAAAAAGCTTTTAAAATTGGTCTTCAAATGGTAGAGTACCAAATATAAGCAACAAAAGTCAACACCTCATTATATGGACATGTGCATATTTACACTCAGTTGCATGGCATGCGTTCCCCTAACATTCCATACTGTAGAAGCAATTCATCTACACGTACCTTTTCATTCACCTCTCCTTCAGCTTTCTTCAGATGAGCTCAACAGAAATAACTCTACTCTAGCATGTCTATTACATTTTTACAAAAAGTAAAATTAACTTTTTGTAAAAATGTAAAATTTATTTTATAAAACTTATGAAAAATCAACAACATGAAAAGTGACAATTCAAGAATTTTCTATGTCAAATAAATTGCACAACCTGACAGGCTAGAAAAGAAAACCACTTACACTGTCTAAACTGTAAATTGGCACCATCCATAGAATCCTGTAAATAACAAAAACATGTTTGCAATAAATTAAAGTGTATGCATTGCTGTAGTGAAGCATGACCAGCTATAACACTTACAAAAACTTACCTTATTATTGGTTTCTGTAATTCTGGTTGAGTATAATGAACTAAATGTTGTAGTATCCCCCAAAGAGATATTGGTATTGTCATCAATAAAAAGATGCCAGCAATAAACCATGCTTTGGTATGAACTCCGACCTTAAAAAACAGACCCACATACACATTAAAAGGAGAGCATAGGCACAATAATAGATTAAAAAACAATGATCCTATATGGATAAAGGAGTCTGTGATCTTACCAGTACAACTAACTCTCTGAAATAGTCCGTCTGTTTTTAGTAGGCTTCTTATTTCACGGACAAAATATGCATTACAAATGTTATTTCCTTACAAATTGTGATTAAAACAAACATTTAAATATACATAGATCCCAACCACTAATCACAACTGCAATAATTTCAATTACATCCAAATATCTACAATACGTACATTTTCCATCAAGATTTAAGCTACCCACAATGCAATTCACAGCATAGCACGTTTAACATTCCTAGCAGTACATCATTTAATAGGCGGCTTATTATATAATATATATTGTACACTACGTACAATACATATTATCTCATATTACCAGTAAAGCTTGGAAAAGAAAAGGCATGATGCAAACAAACAGGAAATATGATATAGCTGGAAGACAGAACACTGTAGTGACTATTTTGAGTGTGCTCTTAGGTATTCATCTTACTATTCATTTATGGCCAACACACGGAAGAATTCCTTATATCATATGAACAATTCCAAGCCGAGAGGAAAAGCAGAAACATTTTAGCAAATTTCTTCATGCACAACTTTATGACAGATCTAAGAAAACAAAGGAGTATCAAATCCAAGATTAAAGTTCCAGATTATGAATAAATTACTTCAGGTCCAGAATGATCATTAATTGGTAGGGTATTCTTCACAAACTCTGAAAGTTACAAGCCATCCATAGGTATGAAATGTATTTCCAGGTACTTGTTTCCCATAGCAGTAATAGGAATAAACACAAGAAAGAGGAAAAGATAGAAATGTCTGGTGGATCAGGCAGTTACTAATGCGTGTGGGGCAGACAGATATATTGAGTTTCTTTTATCGATTAACCAACTGCTATTCAATCTAAATAAGCAATGATGAATAGCTGCAGGGAAAGTCATGTCTCACACAATTACATTTTTCATCAGGTAATTATAAAAAAGGTAATTAACAGGTAGTGCCTAGAGTTGGGACTGGTAATATGTGGTCCAGATCTTCTTGAATTCCTATGAGAGTGGTTGTTATGGCTAATAGCAAGAGATGCTGGAAATTTCTGTCCAACAATATGAGTAACACCACAGGTTACCCACCCCTTACCTAGACAATAAACCCCAGAGCAAACAGAACAGTAAATAATGCTGGAGATGGTAACAGAAAAACACAGCATTACATACATGATTTCAGGAGTAACTGGAAATTAGAATTTCTGGTGTCTCCTTTTCTTTAAATTAAGGATTTCATCCCCTCCCCCCCATTCATGAGAAAATATTTTCTGGATATTATTTTAAGTGTTGGGGAAGATGTATACCACTCAAATGTATATTTTTTTCCATGAACTACTTAGGGACACAATATTCTGTCTGTCTACATATCTAATTCAAGCTTGTGATCAGATGTTCTGAGTCCTCAAGACAGAATGTAAAAAATACATGAATACAATGTCCCATTGGGTGAATATGACAATAACCAGAGAAGCATGTTTTATGCCTTTTCTTTACACCTCAGTAATGTAAACATCAGGTAGAAAATAAAAAAATGTTTGCCTTGCAAAAACTCTTTTGTTTTTTTTAACTTATATCAGAGTTTTCCCAACAGTTCCAGATGAAGTGTGTAAAAAGAAGGTCCTGTTTCTATAACAGTGTTCAGCAAACCGGCTTTGTACAAAAAGACCATTATGGTGAAACTGTGCTTTACTCTATATAAGAGGTATAAGCTATGTGGGCCAAAGGTTGTGTGCAATCCACCAGCATTCTTTTGCAACCTCCAGAACTCTCTCTGTATAAGCAGGACCAAAATGTGGCGGGGTGTTTTTTTTTTGTTTTTTTTTTCATTTTTGAGGGTTTAGGCACCAAATGGATGCCTCATGAATCCACCAGCATTCTTTTGCAACCTCCAGAACTCTCTCTGTATAAGCAGGACCAAAATGTGGCGGGTTGTTTTTTTTTTGTTTTTTTTTTGCATTTTGGAGGTTTAAGGCACCAAATGGATGCCTCATGCCTTATAGCTTACACCCAAAATCCTGAGTCTCTAAAAAATGTAGAAAAATGTAGCTCTTGTCACGCTACTCAAGGCCTTTCAGCCTTTAGCCGGCAGAAACTGCAAAACCACATTTCTACCGTTCTTCATACTTCAGATGCAGAAACTGCAAAACCATATTCTACATTAACTAAGTTTTTTTTTAAGTTTTAGGCAAAAGTCTTTCCAACAACACAAATTAAATCTCAGAATGTCCAATCTATTACTGAACTGCAGGATTTTCATAATACCTTGCTGACTGTGAAACAGCTTACTTTCAGCAAAGCTATCAAATGTACCGCTTCCTGATCTAAACCACAAAAATCCAGACAATGACCAAAGGATAGCAAAGAAACTTTGATGTCACCTAATGGTCGTCCGGACTTTTGCGGCCAAATCTGGTTACCCCTAAACAAAGGTCAGCACAACTTGTGTCCTGAATGCTTCAAGACTTTGGAACTGACCGTTTGGATAGGCGTGTAGGAAGCCTGCACAAGTTTTTAGGATGTTTTTTAAAGTCAAACCGGAAGAGGCTTGCCAAACAAGTTCCCCAACAATGCCATTAGAAAACAGGCTGCTCAAAACAACTCTTTCCCCGCGGAAAGCTGCCTCCCAGACCCCGATGCCCTTCAGATGGGTCGGAATAGGGGGCTGTAATCAAGCCTGGAGGACGCCAGATGGAAAGAGCCCCGTCACTACTGTACTGCGCACTTGGAGAAATAACCGGGGGGCGGGGGGACTGCGGCGAAGAGGGAATCCCCCTTCCCCGTCGAAGCCCACGAGGACCCACCCATGCAGAGGGAACAGGGGAGGAAGGCTTCCGTCCTGCCCTCGCAGATCCGTGGACGGGGCTGACTCATCCTACGGCAGCGCTGGGAGAAGGGGAGGAAGCCGAGCGCCCCTCCACCGGCCTCGCCCGCGCGGCGCCCTCCCTCACGCACCTCCAGCTTCTGCAGCTCCCAGATGCAGAGCGGCACGGCCACCAGCAACCCCACGAGGTACACCGCGGCCACCAGCGGCCGGAC